TATTATCTTTGTAATGTTTAAATACAGTTACCTATTCAGGATTAAAGTATATTTCATATTTTACAATTTACCATAGATAAGTTGTACAGAAGTAATCCTGCATATTCTGCATATCAATACAAGAAACTGTTGCAGGAGCAATTTGAATACTGTACTGTAAAGAAAATCTATGTCTCTATATATATAGTACTTATCTATTCCTATCTGTCTTTCTATCTTGCTGATTTGGAATATTACAGGTTCTGTCAGGTAGGATATGCTCAACCTATGAACAGTCACATCAGAAATTAAAATTTACATTTCTGTTTTTTGAGAAAATAAATCTTTCCAAGTGTCTCATTTCATATATATTTACTACAGGAGTGTATTGTGCATTGTTTTGGCTATAGGTTTTTTCTGAAAAACCATCAGCTGAAGTTTACTTATTCCAACACAGTATTATAGACAGGAGGCAGATGCTGGGGTTGTGCTGTCATAAACAACACAGTTAGGATCCTTTCTGTAATACATTTTTATTTTACCTCTAAACAAATTTTAAATCAAGAACAAACTGGAGCTGCCATATCTCTGTGTGCTATTTCATTTAGTACTGTTGAAGAAAACCTCTACAATTTTACATTAAGAAAAGAGTTGGAATTGAACATGAAGCTGAAGCATATTTCTATTTCTTCTACAGAACGATACAGATGGTAATATATGCTCTAAACCTATATTTAATCATATTTTAAATCTTCTATAAGGGTTAAATGCTGTGAGCTTTTTCATAAACCACTTATGTTCTCACTCTTGTGATTTATCACTTCCCAATTCATACTGCCCAGTTGTAATTTATTAGTTTTTTTTTCATTATTAACAAATTTGTATTATATTACATTAAAATACGTAAGCAGATACAAATCAAAACATAAAGAGAAAGGAAGAAAAGAAAGAGGAAGATGAAAGTGAGAACAAAACTATAGGAGAAAAATCATATAAGGGGACTGTTTGAATGAATTACAAGAGAATTGACCTTTGTTTAAACTGAGACAGTTCTTAAGGATGAGCATTTTAATTTAGTGGAAGAATAGAAATATAACTACTGTACAAAGAAATTTAGCCATCTGAGATTTAAAAGGAACCCCAGATCTGCAAGATACTGTAGAAATTTTAGCTGTATTAAGACCAGCTGGTAAAAGACATCACACATGAAGGTTGACAGCAATCAGGGAATTGTCATTGAGTAGGTGCAGTATGAGACTGATTTGTATGGCCACAGTCAGAAGTGCTCTATCACAGTTTCATTCCCAAAATATATTTAAACCCTGAGCACACCTGTGACAGAAAGCAACAGAAGCAATTCTCATCTAGAACTGACTGTATGGTGTTACACGGATGAACTTGTTCAAAATGTACCGATGGTGTCAAGACATTTTCTGAAAAATAAAAAATACTTCTGAAAACCTGAGCCCCCATAGGACTATCATCCAGACTATCTAGTTTTCTGTCCCATATATAAGTGTCTGGGACTGAAGTAGGTTTTATTCGAAGACTGAAAAATCTTTTACAGGGATGAGACGAGAACCCTTTCTAGAACATTTGAAAACAATGAATTCATCCGCTAAATGAAAAGAAAGGGCAGCATCTCAAAAGGTGTGAAGGGATGAGAGAAGTCTGATATACATAAAACATCTTGGGAATTTAATGAAATTAGTAGATTTCCTTTAACATGTTAAAATAGGCATTGTCTATTGCAGTCACAAATGTCACTGATGTGTGTACATTATGAGAGAATCATGGTAGACCAGTGATACTCTTCTATGTGAAAGAGAATTTTGAATGTCCCTGTATGGTAACCTGGGGCACTACACTGTCATTTGGATGAGATGATAAACTGAGTTCCTGACTTGATCATTAAAAGTCCCATAGCAGTTTGAAATAACAGCATGCTAACCCTACAGTTCCAGTTAAATTCTGCTTTGGGATTGTTGGCAGTTTGTCCCACCTAAATAAATAAATCTACCCTTTAATTCTATTAGTAAAATGATTTTTCATGTATCCACCTGATCTGCTGTCATGCATCACTAAGGTGTTCTGCAATTCAGTAGTGGATAAAATGGGTTACTTTCCTCCTATATGCAAAACACATAGGAAACTGCAGATATAATTAATTATATTCTTGGAATTCTGTTCTAATACTGGTGAGTTTTTAATTTGATTTGTAAAGCAATTTTTAATGTTTAACCTTATTGTCTTGAAGGTTTTTTTTAGTTAGTTCTTCCTCCAACTATTTAATTGCAATTTCTAATTTCTAATCAAATCAAAGCAACTGAAGATGCCCCTAATAAAGCTCTTAATTTCTTATCATAGAGATTAAGGGTTAGTTTCAAAAATTTAATTTTGTCTTTAAAAATTGTTAGATATTTTGTAAGAAGACTTCATTCTTTAATAAGAAAAAAACTATATACAACCATTTAAAACAACTTATTTCTCAAACCAAATCTTTTTGTTTTATGTATTGCACATAAATGAGCAATACATTTATATAGTGTTTGTTCTGATATCTATGAGCACCAGGAAATTTGTGATAGGTATTTTAATAAAAAGCAATCTGGCTTTTATAATAATACAGTACATAATACGTAATACAGTACATCTAAACATTCAGTTCACTTAATTGATTAATTCAAGACTTGTGCTTTCCAGGACATAACATTACAATTGACTAGGCAACAAAAACTGCTGAGATGCATGGCATTGTGCAAGCATACTGTACCACAGAACTCATTGCCAGAACAAGAAACTTTTAGTTCAATAGTTTATTCCAGGATACATAACTTATTAGTCCCAAAAAATAAAAAAAGAATAGGAAAGAAGGATAGATCAAAAGTAGGCTGAACCCTTGGTAATAATACCATTATGGTGTTGTGAGCTACACATATATGATATATGATTCCCTGCAGATTGAGATATAAAAAAACAAAGCAACGAGAAAGGAAAAAAGGGGGATGTAGGAGATTGTTCAGTGCCTTAAATAATGGACTAGATGAGGTGAAACATTTATGCAACGGTGAGATCTTTGTATTTGTGACACAAATTGTTTTGTTACTGTTACTGGTGGATAAGTAAGATGAACAGTATATTGTAGATATTTTTCATTGCCAAGTAATGTGGAAATCTGGGTTTTCCAAATTTCTATGTGGGAGCAAAGGATTTTTGATTGTATGCTGTGAAAGCTGAATAACCAGGAAAACAAAAGCAAAAGGTATCTGCTAGGTTGAAGATTTTCTGTATGCTTGGAGAATTGTTTCTTACTATATGTATACAGTACATCGGAGAAGTATGAATGTATAGGATTTGTTCTTATTTAGATCGGAGTCATAAATCCTGTGGTCTTTTACACTTACTAAGATGAGCAGATATCTGAAGATGCAGAAGAGATTTCTGGCTAAAGTTGATGGCATCATCCTCTACAATTTTTGTCTTCTAGCACAGTCATTTTGTTAGCTTTGAAGCCTTGTTTTTGTTTCTGTCCTTCCTGAAGTCTGCCTCTCTATAACTCAAATAATATCAATCAATTTTACTAACATGCTATTATGACCATTGAAGATGTGGCATTATGCTTATTAAGAGGGCCAAAACAGTTTTAACTTCAGCAATGGGGTCTTCTTTGATATAGAAACAACTGAAACCCAGGGGCATCAGAGAAATTCAAAGTCTACAGGTTATCTAGACACATATTTTATGGAGTATACGTTTTTTTTAAGCTTTATTAGCCTGCTAATAAACAGAAAGGAGAAGGTGGTCCCTAGTTTATAAAGTTTTTTTGACATATGTGGAAATAATACAGCTGTTGGACTATGAAGGACTTACACTAATGGGTTACATTCCTACTCTTTTTCTTTTGTTCCTCCATCTTTTTTAAATAATTCTGAGAATCAGCATTGAGTAAAGGGTATATGAGCTATACTGTACCATCACCTTGGACAGAACAACCAGAAGATAATGCTCTGTAAGTCTTTAATATCTCTGTAAAATTTTAAGAGCTGTTGCAATAAGGATCTTAGCACTTTCCAAGATTCCACATCTAAGTTTATTTTTGCTCTTATTTTTTATTACTATTGTGTGGAGGGAATGCCTGTGTGCTCCAGAAATCAGATACACCAAATACTGTATAATTATCTTTCTATGACAAAAATACTATGAGGATGAAAGGTTTTCTTTCCTCTGTCAGTGAACAGGAAACCTGCAAATTCATAATCAACATGCCAATAAAACGTACTGGAAGTTGGAATGCAACAAAATGGCAGAATGTTTAGGGATAACTTCAGATATATCGTATAAATACAAGGTCTTCTCTATATCACTATATTGTATGTATATTATTAAGCTTACAGTACTTAGAGAAAGTATTCTGTGAAAAAAACATAATTGCAGTCCCGTAAATGAAGGTACACAGTCTAGTGCACAACCTACAGGATCAATGGTATTTCTTTGCATTTGTAGAGAAAAGATAAAGTAAATCATAATGTAAATATTTACAATAATGCCAGAGAGCTTAGTAACTTATTATAATACTAAGCTCTCTGGCATTATTCCCATTTTTTATGAATGAACTCTCACATATCTCCAGTAGCTCTTTTATCTGATCGTTGTCCACTTAAATCTTAAGAGTATAATATATTTGGAAAATGTAAAAAAACGGAGATGAAAATAAAAAACACAACCAATGAATATTGTGGCCTAATAAAAAATACATCACAGCTTTCTTTATCTTTGTATTTTTTCCAAGTTATTACCATCTGAAAACACCCCTGGAGTAAAAGGCTTCTGCACTCACTATATCACTTTCAAATACCATCTGTGCAGTTGTTTGTGATTTACTCAGCGCGCAAAGGAATTCACCTTGATACATCACAAAAAGACTATTCCAAAGACACTGGATGAAGATGCTGTAAAAAGAAAGCTATGACAACCAAAAGGAAAATGGCATGGGTTGAGTGAGTAAAAACATGTGTGCTTACGCTGTGTTGCATTGTCTTCCAGACACTCCTCTGGAAAGCCGCATAAAACAGAAAAAGGAAGGATTTCATTGAAAAAGTAGGAACAGTGGAGAAGGAAAAGAAAAACATATCTTTGGAGTAACAGACAGAGTTCTTCAATTACAAAGAAATCGAATATCAGTCATTGCATTTGACAAATTATACTGCTCAGATAACCAGTTTCTCTCCTAATTGCAATGGCAACTTACACGATTATGTAATACCTCAGATAAAGCAATGAAAAGAGGGCTTCTTCTATCAAAAACCATATTTATGCATTTAACATCACAGTTGCTGATAAAATCTGAATAAAGAAAAAAAAACTGAATTTGTTTTAAACAGCTTAAACATTGCATATACTGTATATCTGAAGTGGCTAAAATATATTTGACCTAAAACAATTTAGGCACTGTAATCCTGTGCAATAGATTGCTTGAAATGTTATTCATGATTGAAAATGAAAAAAACAAATGAAAAAGAAATACAGTAAAAACATTTTTCTACCTTAACAGAGACACAGAAGCCTAATAAGAAAATAAAGCATTTGAGACTTACAGTATATACTATCTCATTTTGTTTTGTTTGAGGTTGATCTGTAACCTCAGAACCTGTTTACAAGACCTGTATTTATATTACTATAAATTTTGATTTGCTATAGTATTGTAAGAATTAGGCTTTATCGTACTTTACTGATTATTAATATATAGGTAGTGGACATAAAAATGGAAACACCTGGGTAAAAGAAGGATACTGGGCATGTTGAATACATAGTCTTCCACACAGGTGTGGATCGTGCATTAATTAAGCAAGTATCATCCTGACATGCTTCAGGTCATATATGTTGTACAGGCCTGGCTGCCTATGACTAGTATGGCTGCAATAGGAGACCTCAGTAAGTTTGAAAGAGAGTTTATTGTTGTGGTATTTGGCAGGAGCTTCAGTGACCAAGACACTGTAGATATTTGATGAGCAGCAGTGTCTAAGGTGATGTAAGCAAGGAAGGGATAGACATTAACAATAAAAGACAAGTGTTGGTAGAAGCAAAGAATTGCTATATCCCTGAATTAATTTGAATAATTAATTCATACATTTAAAACTAGCATGCAACTAGCCTTTGAGAACCCCTTATAGTAGGATAACTAGTAAAGTATTCAAGTTGCAGGGCACAAATTGCTCATCATGCCTGACAATTCACATTTTCAAGTAGATCAGTACAAAGAGCACAAACAGAACAGTGCAAAAATGTAATAAGATTTTATGAATTATTGTTTCTTGACAGACAAGTAAACATGTACTGTAGCTCCAACCTAAAGAATTTTACGTTCTTGAGTGCTTGGTTCAAACAGAGTTCTGGTGGTTCTGTAATGAAGTAGAGCTCATTTTTCTGACATTAGTCAATGCTAATCGCTTCTCAGATGAGTGAACATCTTCACCCTATGTTGCAGCATTTTTTTCCTGCAGGGAGGAAAGTCCTCCAGGATGAAAATGCCCCATCCATGGAGCATGTATGGTTGCCCAGTGGTTTGATGAGCATGACACTGATGTTATCCATATTTCATGGCCTTCTCAGTCACCAGATCTAAACCCAATTGAACATTTATAGCATATTCTGTAACTATTTTTCATATGGACGTATTGTGCCATATTTCTCCTAAATAATTCAAGATGCAGGTAAATTTTGTGTCAGGAAATACTGTATGTATTTGTTGGACCAATGTCGTGCCAAGTGACTTTACAGTGGTGTTTTCAATTTGATGTCCATTACCTGTAAATATTGTACAGTATATATTTAAATAGATATACTTTTATAAACACATACAGTATACTGTATATATTTGTATACTGTATATGTTTGTTCTTTCATAATACAAAGAAAAATATATATTAACATTAATACTGATATTTTATATCATTCTAGTTTGGCACTACAGCAACAGTGGGAACTAGAATTCTAGAAATGTTAATTGTTACATTATATATGTTATAATAGATAAAACATGATATATGTTATAATATACATTATATATTTCTACTTAAATCATCTAGAAAAAGTGTTTCACTGAAGAAATGAAAAAACACACTTTTAGCCATTGTACAATACTCCACTTGTCGATCATTTAATGAAAACTACACTACAGATTTCTGCCTGTTTAGCTAAATATGTAGGATCAGAGTGCATATTGTGTACTCAGTACATATTTTCATCAACCACATGTTCTTTAAATTGCCAAGTTAGTTGTTTGAAATTATTGGTTTTGTAATGCAACCCAAAGAGAGTAATGTTCTGTAAAGCTGAAGTGCCTATTAAATATTTAGTGCTTAAAAAGTACTGTGGGTAAACCTACTTCTTTAAGCTCTGTTAAGAAGCTGGTAATTTATTTATTTAGCTCATTTTATAAATTGTAAAAGGAAAACAAAACATGTACTTCCCTTATGTCAGAGATAAGTCCTAAAAAGAGACGCAGTAATGTAAATTACTATTGTTTTTTTTTCTTTCTTAAATAGCTGTGAAACTAAAAAAAAAACCCAATGTAATAATGAGTATCATAAGCTGTAGTGTAAATTGCTTGGTAATGTGTTACACTATTTTATATCATTTTCAAAAGTAGGAACACTCACAAAAAAAAAACTAATTCTTCAAATGTGAGTTCTTACTTTTCAGGGTATCAAGGACTGACAGTCTGATAGCACACAGAAATCAAAAGCCAAGCGTGACCAGAAGATGTGTACAAAGAATTAATTTAACAGCTCTGGAAGGTTAAGTCTGTAGATCACAAGCTTTAATCAAGAGGGATTTCTTGTCAACCGAAGCACGGCAAGACATCCAGGAGACTAATAATGTTTACACTGAGACAAGATTATTTCAGATGGCTCACACTGACAGTCATGCCCATGTGCTTACCAGTCTGTCAAGGCTCGTTCCGGCAGCTGTGGTGGGCCTTTCTTCAGGACTGTACGGCCTGAAACGAGGATTGAAAACCTCTGGGACACCACGAGTTGATCTGCCTAAACCAGATGGTTTGGGCTGCCCACATCCTTGAAAAACCTACAATTCCATAAATAAATAAATGAAATTACATACATCCTAAATTAACCATATATCACTGCTTTAAAACTAGTTATCTAATTCTACCAAGACCATGATATTTCTGAAAAAAATAATAATCAAACAATGTACTGTAGTTAAGTTTTTTTCAACTTTGGTGTATGTCAGCATTTCTCATATTAGTAGGCTTTGGACAGTGTTCTTGGCAAGCGCATGCATATACAAAAAAAGATTAAATTTCGGGCATCACCACTAAAGAAATTTTAGTAATGAAGACTTTTTTAAACTGCATATACAGAAAATGAAAATTAGATGTTACTGACAAAGGAAGACTTTTTCTATGCATTGGTCATACTTAAATCATAAAGTAGAGGGGGAAATAACTCCCTCCATTGCATTTGCAAGCACTTTGTGTTGTCTTTGACGTACAATATTGATTTTTATCTTATTCTTTTCAGCATGCATATTTATTGCCTTATTGGACTTGGACGCTGACACAGCAGCCTTTGATTTTACTCTAAATACAGATTACATTTTCAACAGTGTGATAGCACAGAAATAAGGACCTGCCTTCTGAATAAGAAGAACAGAAGTTGAGTTTTTACATAGAAAACAATGGGATTCCAGAACACAAAGTTAAATAGCAAAACATAAACAATGATACAACATTATAAATGAATAGAAAACTGTAAGATTCTCTGACGGAATCCAGTATACAGCAATCGGTGTTGTAATACAGTAATAAGGAATACATTACTTTATAAGGCTGTAAAATGCAATTAAACACATTTTATTAAATTGTGAATGCATACGAAAGGTTATATATTAAATACCTGCAGTATTTTACTTTTGTATGGAATTTTTGGTGTGTTGGTTATGATCAGTCATTATATTTCTGTGTGCAGTGGCATCTTGATAAAAGTGCAGAAAATAATTTGGCTCTTTATTGCTATGTACAGTTGATTGAAATGGCATGATTCACTCACTAGTGCTGTAAATCTGCTCTAAACCTAACATTTGAACAAGAAACAAAAAAGATAATATATTCTAAATATTCAAAATGACAGGGATATTTCTGTTTTGGTATGTTCACAATTCTATACTGTACAAAACCAGTATTTATGCACTGTATTGGTCTTCATATTATAACTCAAAATTGTATGATACATTTAAGAACACATATTGTATAAAATAAGGGTTTTTATGGGAGATTTCAACTTTCCTCATATACAGTATACTGAGAAAAAGCAATAAAACTGTTAACAGCAGAGACCTAATGGTATGCATAGCTAAAGACCACTTCTCGGAAGAACACTTATTAGATGGAATGCGTGTACCGAGCTAGACTTTTAAATCAAAACACAACTTAAGAGAAATAGGACAGGATACTGTAGATTAATCAAATAGAATAGGATAGGATAGATGGAATCAGTACAGAAAAGTAGGAAAAAGTTTAAGAAGATTCTGGTACAGAACAGATATATTACACGAGTAGAGAAATCAAAAGCTAGAAAGCATTAATGATTTAATAAATCAATGAATAAACATAAAAGGAGAAAAAAAGCAATCTATAAAATGAGCAAAAATTAACACAATGCAGTGTGAAGCCATGTATATTATTAGTAACACCATTTATTTCCATATTCACTTTCCTCATGCCCCAAGGACATTTATTGTATGTAAATACACAAACACAATATCCATTGTTCAAAACCTTCTGAGTAAGGCAATCAAGATTGAAGTGTAAACACTGCTAAACTCAACTGAAATACAGTTGTCCTTATGAAACATTGCTGTTTCACAATAGCTCAGAAATACCATCTTAAATAAATGAGGACTGAGAGTTTATATACGTGGAGCAAAAAATATATATATATACACAAGTCATAACTGAGGAATTGTTAAGTGATATTGATGATGTTGATACTTTTGGAGTTTATATTTTAAACAGTGAGCCTAACCTTAAGAGATTACAGATCGGACTGCATGTACTTTCTTCCAAATAGTATCTAAAACAGAACAAGAAAAGGTTTGACTCCTGTCTTTGGTGGTGTCTGTTATCTTGATGATGATTGAGTGCTATACAGATATTTGTGCAATACATGACAAACGTTATCTTACTTTGTTGACCTCATATGTTGCACACCAATAATATAACAATATAAATTCACAGATAATACAACAATAGAAATTTATACAATATACTTTACTGACACTGCAATAAATACAGATTAGACTAAACCTTGTCTCAGGAGTTTTGAGGTTGCATTACATAATTTCATAATGTTTTTTAATGGGGATTTTTTAATGAGTAAGCTTTGCTAAATTGCCATCTAGACAAGAAGCAATGAGTGTTAATTGGATTTCAAAGGGAGGTATCGCACTGCAAAACAAATACCAATATACCAATATATAAAATAACAGGCCAAAATAAATACCAGAAATGCAAATTTTATAATACCGCATAAAAACTGCCTAGTTTTTCAATAATAATTGGTTTACTGAATGTTTCTATAGTATTTTAGTTTTTTTGGCATATGTCTGTGGTATGTGTCAGCCATGATATTTGAGGATAGTGTGAGCTTAAAAATATGCTGGGTGATATTATTTACTGAATGATGAATTTATCATAATGTGGGAAAATGCACAAGAATCTTCAGAAGCTTTACATTTAATCATTTTTTTGTTACATTAAAATGTCATTTTATGAGAAGCACTAAACTGAAATAAACCAACTATGGAACTACTGACCCCTAGCTCTCTGTGTGGGTTTTCAGATGAAAAGGACACTGAATGTTTAGATCTAGTACTGTACTTGTCAATACATTCAATTTCAATTGAAATACAAAGCAGAACAAAAAGTACTCTTGTTGTACTCTAAAAAATAGCTATGTGCTTTACTGCTTCTTTTTCAGTACTCTAGCAGCATGTGCTTAAAAAACAGGCCACCACTAAGAAGAAATCACATTCTACACTCACAAATATTAAAATTGTTTTGAATGAGAAATTACATTTTCACTTCAACATCTGTACCTACTGTATTGTACCTACAATATTAAAGATAAAGTAATAATATGGTATGTGATTATTTAAATAATAAGTAAAACATACATTAAATACTACTAAATGCCACTAAGACTATTTTCTCAAAATGGCACTAAGACTCCAAGGCTAACATGTACAATTTATATCTCAGAAAGCCATGATAAATCTGTGCCCGTTTATCTACACAACTACAGTACATACAGTACCAGAAATGGAAAATTCAGGTTGTTATTAACATTCAAGTGTAACAGAAGGTCAAAAACAGTAAGTAATTGTGCTGTCATATATCAAAATTAAGCTGAATTCCTACATGATTGATTTGAATTGAATGCTAAAAAACATTATCAACATTCCAATTAGCTTACCAAATATTCATGCTTTCCAGTTTAGTATATGGCTAAATTTTGTGCCTTCACCTGATGTGTTAATATGGTAAAATATTTAATTATTTTTCTGTATTTACAGTAATTGTTAGTATGCCACATTTCTAAACTGTTAAGAAGAAATAAATAAACAGTTCACTCTATTAAACAAGCAAACTAAGGCAGGTACTCACTGGAATGCAATCCAGTTTTTATATAAAAATCAAAGTTTCACATAAACTTGTGAATGGTGTGTACCTTTGATGAGACTTGTACACTGTTGTCCTGCATATTCATGATGGCTTCTGAAATCTTGACATCAATTGGCTCCATGACAGACTCAATATTGAATGGTCCCTCCAACCTTTCTGCTACCAGCAACATAGCATCTGTCATAAATGAAAAGGAGACATTCCATAAGGACTAGGACAAAACATAAACTAAAAAAATACACAAGTATACCAGAATAGCAAGTCGCTATGTCCAGACTGTCAAAAGGATAAGACCTTACAAAAGGGATGCGTTGGAGAATATGAAATATTGAAAACTATCTGCTTCCATGAATGTAGTTGTCACAATGTCACTTTTTTTTCTTTTTATTTCCAGGAATTAGGCTGAATTTTGTGTTGTCTTGTGTTAGCCTCCAATATTGTAAAAATAATTCATGTCCTGGTCATTTCTTCTGACTCTCAGAGAAATGTTTTCTAGATCACGTACTGTACACTCAAACTGTGCCAAAGGCCAGACAATAGAATATAATCTTTGGGGTGCCTGGCAGAATATGAAATAACATTGTTTGTGAAAGGTGAGTAAAACGTTAAAAGGTATGTCAAGAGCTCATAATGAAAATCAGTTCACTTTGACCTCTGTGATCCAAATCCCCAGGACTCATGATGGATTACAAATAACATCGAAGCAAAGGGTTGGACAAGACCAGGTTTAATCCTAGAATTCTGTTTGGCTTATAGAGTGATAGCTATATAGAGTTAACTTACAGGGATGTTCTGTTTACAATTAGCTTTTCTAGTGTCTCAACAGTGGCATAATCACTCTATTGGGAGTTTTATAATGCTGATAATAATAATGCCAACACTGCCATATAGAATTATGTAAACTGTGTATCAAGGACAAACCTCCACTTCAGGCATTGCTAAAGCCTTTCAACACCCCATTATTAACCCATGCTGTTAAAAGTGAAAACTGGGCAAAGTGTTTGAAAATTATCCTTATTGAGTCTAAGAACTGTAAGTTTCAAAATGAATTTTCAGACAATTCCCTGCCATTTTTGTTTTTTCTCTCACTCTAAAACATATTCGCTAATAGATACTCCAAGTCTAAAAAGTGCTTTCAAGTAATGAATGTAGTTAAGATAATTTTGTTTTGAGTAATGAAACTCTTTACTCACCAACTATGAATAAAACACTAATCACAGTTGAACTACTTTTTAAATTAGATCAAAATATTTTTTGTTAAAATTAATTTGATGTCCCTTTACAGACTTACAGACTACAAAACAGCCACCTGATACACATTTCATTCTTTGGACTCCACTCTTCACTAATACCTTGTTATTCAGAAATACATCTGTGGTTCTAATGTTTCCAATGTTGTTATCTGGCCATTACAGAAGTGATGAAAAAAACAGGTTGAATGTTTTTTATAATCCCACTCAGACAGCTGTGTGCACATTCTGAATGAATTTCTGAATGAAATGCTGGTCCTTGCAGAAAGAATATTTTGGAGAAAAGAATGTGTCGAATACTATCAACTCTATGGTTTGTTCAAGCAAAAGAAAAGGGGTATGTGTTTTGGTGATCGCTCTAAAATTATCTTCTGCAATACTTGTTGTTAATATAGTAATTTTGATGCATGTTTCACAGGTTACTGAAGTGAATTTCAGAAAGATATTTAAAAGAGTATTTGGTCTTTATTATCAGTATGCTTTTTTGATCAAGTGCCTTAGTCATTGTGCAGCATGAGGTTATGAATTAAGAATGTCTTTCCTAATTGACTCTGAAATTATAAGAAAATACCTTGTTCATCATTGCATAAAGAGGTGAACTGGGCATATGAAAATGAAATAAGCTCATTATCACAACAGATGATTTTCTTAACAGCCCTGCTTCTAGGAGGAGTTTTAATTTAAATATAAATCAACCTCAGAACCAGTAGCATTGACCACGCATTTAACAAAATGCTAAGTGCTGTGTAGACAAATTATTATCCCATTTTAGAAAAATTTCACCTGGGTATTCAGCTAGTGCTGTAAAACACATTATCCCAGCACATTTCAGATGTCCTGAACAAGACAAATGAGCCTCTCATATTACCGAATCAAGATTTAAGTGTATGTCAGAATCTTATTTGGCTCAGCTTCAAGAAGTATTTATTTCAAGATCTCCATAACATTTAAAAAAAGCACCATAAAAACCCATATATTAGCTGACTAGGTGGGCATCAACAAGAATAAGTCAAGCAATTTTATATGTACCCATCTACTCGTCTATCCATCTATTTTCTTCAACTCTGAAAGGCCTGTGCGTAAATCTATTATTTGCCTGTAGATTGGACTTTTCTCTAGCAAAAACAAAATACCTCACATAAAAAGCAACAAAATATTGATTGATTACATTCCCAGTGCCATCATCTCCTGGACTGTAACCTTCACAGTAAAAAAAAGAGTATACTGAAACAGAATTATAAAAAAAGAATCCCGAATCCAAAGAACTAATGAATTATGGGGAAACATCAACTTCTAAACCTGTTCCAAGATCCACTTTTTTACACAATGTCTCATATTCCTCAATCCATTCCTTTTTATTTCTAATTTAATTGCATTTCATTAAAAATACAAGTTTCCTCACCGATTTTTCCATTGTAGCTTGTGATATTGAATACTAATTTTAGTTATTTGTTTAACACTTATATATATATTTTTTCTGACACTAAATTCAGGTATTACGAATATGTTACAAAATTTTGATTACAGCTTCCAGCGACAGTACAACCTGTGCTCATAGAATAAACCTAATCAAAGGATAATGCTAAGCTAATGATTGTAGGAAAAAGAAACTAAGGTCAAAATTAAACAGATACAGACAGTTTATTGTAGCATGACTTTATGCATCATGCACAGTCTATTGCAGGCATTCATGCAGAAGGCTAATATTTATACCATGGGGATAGAAAGGGGAATTAAGCCCACACAGTTTCCTCTCTTTTGGAAATGTCAAAATCTGCAACTAATCTTGTAGGTACACAACCAGAATCTGCAACTAAGAGGGGAGAAAATGCCAACTGATACAGACTGGCAAATATCGATAGCTATTACATAGCTTTTGCACCAATGTTGAAAACAACCAGAGCATCAGAAATTTGTTTTTCGGCTGTGTCACAAAAGAATCAACTCAAACAGAACTGCTATATTTTGCTTGACCACAAGCCAAGAATTTTGTGTATTTCTAAAACATTAAGTGCTGACTTCTGCACTTAATGGAACATTTTTGGAGATCACTTGCATATCAAGCTGAGGATCTTGTTGTGAGTCTTACACAAAACAATCCCATATAAAACAGTCAAAGGGCAGACTGTTGGTCTTATTTTCAAATGAATTTTTTAACTGGAACAGTCAAATTGGAACTTTTCACTACATATATTTTCTGGAGTGTCTTAAAACTGACATGTCTGTGAGAAGCAATTTCATTCATGGGTGTGTAAAGGAACAACTGACTGTTGGTTTCAGCCAGTAGAGGGACATCCTAGAAAGAAAAGAAGAGCAGGCATTCATACAGTTGTACAGTAATAAAATAATGTAATGTAATTTTTTATTACGCTTCTCTGAAAATAGGTACAGAACACAGGGGAAGGTGTCTAGTCTTGTGATGAGTTCAATCCTATGGGTTCAGGGAACAGTCTAGAGGTGAGACCAGATTGAAACAGTTTTAGTTGAGTGAGTCACTGATAAAGCTCAGTGCTCATTGGTCAGCTTGGTGTATACAAATCGTGTATACCATATTGGAATTTCCCACCAGTTATGGAAATAGGTAAAGCAAAAGGGTTTGTTAAGACAAGTTAGCTCATAAGAATATAAGAAAGGTTAAAAAGGAGGGGAGGCCATTCGGCCTATCCAGCCAATTTGATAATTAGTAGTTAATTCAAGGATATTATCCAGCCATTTCTTGAAAGAAGCCAGGGTATTGACTTAAACAACATGGGTGGGGAGCTTGTTTCATACTCCCATAATCCAGTGGGTAAAGAACTGCTTCCTATTCTCGGATTTAAGTGCACATCCATTTAGTCTTCACTTGTGTCTTTTGCCTCATGTTTCATTCTGAAATTAGCTCACTCTCCAAGGAGCCACTGGTCAATTGGAAAAGGAGGTGAGAACTCTCTTGTAGATGGGGCAACTTCATCTGCCAGTTCAAGCTAAAACAAACCTGTTAAAATTTATATAAAAGTTGAATCTGGGCAGACCAGAATGTTACAGATTATATTACAGATTAACTAAGAGGAATGACAATTATTTTACACCAGGTTTAGTGTGGCCTCAAACCTGGTTGCTAGATTTTACTGGAGTTCATGCAGTTAATGTGAGTATATCCTATTTTGCCATGATATCAGGATAACCAGATTTAGAAAACTGAACAGTATGATTGAGCCTAAATATTATTTTAACATACTGTATTTTCTCTAACATTTTCATATATACTGTATAATTTGTTTTTTAATAGGTACATAATTAGCAAGGACATATTTAAGTTTTGGTTGAAATAGAAAATTGTTTTTCTATGTACTGTTTATTCAAAACAGCTCAAAGCATGCTGATGTTTTCCTTTGAGTAGGAAAGTATAATATTGCTGCATAGAGACATACAATATATGTTAAACTATAGAGTATAACATGTCTTAGAAGAAGCTGCTAGATGGTTTTCCCTGTTTATAAAGCTGTCAATATGATGGGCTTGTATTGGTTATTAAAAAGATATGATTGTAGATTTTATTCCCATTATAATCAAAATGTACAATTCCTAATTTAGAACAATTACAATTTAAAAACTTTTTTTCCCAGATTAATTTATGTAATTTGAGTTTTCTAATTAGAAAAACTAGCCTCCTACCAAATTACAAAGATTTTGTTTCAGCATTAAAACCTGAGTATTGTAACCCTGGATGCCACATACTGGATGGCACCTTTCACATATGCATTGACTACAACAGCAATCATTAAACATTTCACAAGACCAGCACCCAACTGAATTTGAAATTACAAAAGTGCTGAAAATGAGTCTATATAAAGGTATTGACATTTAAAGATATATATTATATACTTTACAATATAAAACATTCTTCTTAAAAATGCAAAACACAGTACAAATGAACCCATAAAAGTT